TCAGTGCAATTTGGGAAAGAAATCAATTAAATTTGTATGTGGATGTGTGTAAATATACAAATGTAATCCCCGTTGTAATCGTTAACATTTTCATAAGTAACTGTAATTTAATTACACATTTTTTCTTAGTAACGGTAACTTACATTTATTACATTTATTTTGTAATTAAATTACGTAACGCCGTTACATGTAACTAGTTACTCCCCAACAGTCACACATCATCACCAAGATTATTATAATATGTAACACTATAAAATGGTTCCCTTCAGGAACTCGAGATGCGTCGGAAAACGCTATGGGAACACCTTCAGCATGACCACGCTCTGAATAACATGTGTAATCAGTCCAATGGAAGGGCGAGACGTCACAGGCGTGTTCTGTTACACCAAATAATGATCTTTAAAAAAGCATCATATGACCCCTTTAAAGGAGATGAAAATACAACTAACGTAAGTGAAGATCTGGCATCGCAAATTCTTCAAGGATAACACTATCACCTTTTCTGCCAAATGAGGTAAGTTTAGACCTTTTATTGTCTTGTTTTAAACACTCAAGGACGATAACATGCAAAAGAGAAATCAATTCGGTAACGTTACTAGCAGGCTGTCTGTGAAGCGGCTGAGTGAACACAGGCATCCGACGAATCAGACAGCACGCCAGCAGCGCATTAAGTTCACTTCCGCACTGTAACGGACAAATGCACACGACATTATGCCAAAATGACCTTTGTGGGCGAGTGACCTCGTAAACAACACAGTCTAAAATTAGTTAAAAAGTCTTAATTGACCGTAAAGACTGGAGTAGATCGGATGTGTGTCAGATATGCGTCGTGTTTTAAAGGGACAGCAGTTCATGACATTCATAGTGTTTCTTTTTTTTTCTTTCTAATGACAGGACACAATTGCTGCTGTACTGTGAATCTCAAGCACCCCTGCATTCTTATCATGGGTTTGTATTCCGTTTTATTAACAGTTTTTATTTAACATTAGTGTTAAATATTGAAAATAAAATAGTCAGAGTCATTTATTCTGTTGACTTTTACAACAACAGGGACCATTGGAAATGTAAGTTAAGCAATTTATAAACAATTGTTTGAATTGGAAAGTATTAGGGATAGCAGTTGATTTAATAATGAACTTAAAATACTGTATGATTGCTTTTCCATCTCCAACCTGCATGTTATTCTGTTCAGTTTAATTAATTACATTTTTTTGTCATATCCATTTCTTTTAGAGTTTTCCTTCCCCTTATTACCCAAACGTAACACATTGTTCCCTTATACCTACACGTATGTTCTTTATAAGTACACTATAATTACAGAAACGTACACCGTAAATTCAGTATAGTTACATAGTTCTTTGCGGGTTGTAATCTAAAGCGTTACCACACATTGCTAAATGAATTGATTTGATTGAGTAATTGATTGATGAAATCGTTGTGTCCTAACCAATTTAAGGCAAACAAAAGCCATTGCATGCATTTTTAAGAATGTTTACATGAAGTAAAAATAAACCATGTTCAATTCGTATATTGTGCTGTATTTAATTGCTTTATATATATATTTTTCATATATATAGATGCACCATTAAAACATAAAAAGTCCTGGGTTTTTTTTTACTGTGGGCAGACCTTCAATTAACGGAAAATTTTTGTTTTTTTAATTACGGTACAAAGTCCGGGTAATGAGCTGCCAGTACTTTTTCCGTTTTTTTACTGATTTTTTTTTTAGAGTGTACACTGCACTGACCTTCTCACATAGTTATCAATTTTTAACACACCAGGATCAGTCACAAGAATATCATCATTCTGGCATTCATGGATAGAATTTCCAAAGTGAATATGTTGTTAGTATGAGGATGAGTAATTGATGACAGAATTCACATTTTTGTGTGAACTATCCCTATAAACAATATTGTGTTCTCTTATAGGAAAACATGTTTTGAATCTTGACTGTTTCACAGTTTGTGAAGTTTAAATTTTGTGACCACTGTTTGGTGCAACACCAGTATTGTACGAGTGCTCATGTTTTCTTTTTCTAATTCTGTCTGTTACTGTTTAAAGCTAAATTGTCTTCCACAATACAAGCATTTTTCAGTGTTTGACACATTGTTAAATGAATTGATTTGATTGAGTAATTTAGTGATGAAATCGTTGTGTCCTAACCAATTTAAGGCAAACAAAAGCCATTGCATGCATTTTTAAGAATGTTTACATGAAGTAAAAATAAACCATGTTCAATTTGTATATTTTGCTGGATTTATTTGCTTTATATGTTTTTTTAATATATTTAGATGCACCATTAAAACAGAAAAAGTCCTGTTTTTATTTTTACTGTGGGCAGACCTTCAATTAACAGATTTTTTTTGTTTTTTAATTACGGTACAAAGTCCGGGTAATGAGCTGCCAGTACTTTTTCCGTTTTTTTACTGATTTTTTTTTTAGAGTGTACACTGCACTGACCTTCTCACATAGTTATCAATTTTTAACACACCAGGATCAGTCACAAGAATATCATCATTCTGGCATTCATGGATAGAATTTCCAAAGTGAATATGTTGTTAATTCCTAGGAATCAGTTCATACCATTGATGGAGTATCAGCAAAATCCGCTTCCTCATCAGCTTTTCTGTCATTCTTACAATCATCCTAAGCATCCTCAACACATTGAGGATGTGTTGAGGAAGAATATCCTGATGTTCCAGCTGTTGAGGATGTGTCACAGCAAAGCGGTCTGGCAGGACGCCCATATCAGATGTGCCATCTGCCACCAAAAGCCCAAGCAGGCATTCAAGATCATCCAGTGACCAATATTCACTTTGATTAATTACTGTTTGCCTCTTTTTGACCCCTGTCTGTGTGTGTGTTTGTTTGTCATAAATTCTGTACTTTTGGAAAGTCCTATGTGTCCGTGAAGGCACAAACAGATGGCTAACATGATACTACTCACATTCATTACGGAGTATTCTTGCTCCATCTTTTGCTGTCAAATAGCTGAAAATGTATGTTGAAAACACAATGCAGTTAGAGTATCAGCAGGATGGGACAGCATTCCTAGGTTTTCAGACAATACAGAAAAGAAAGATAGCTCAGAGTGCATGTTAAAACATATAAACTGTGGCTAGGCTTCTAATTCCTGATGCCTGACCATAATTAGTTACATTACTAGTTACGTTACTTTTTTCTCTCCATGAAATTTATGAAATCCCAGCATACACGCTCCCGATAAATATTTGTTATTAAAGCATCAACATTCACAGAACACTGTTATTTCACGTGTTATAGCCTAAATAGAAACTCTGCATACGCTTGCACCCGTTAATCGTTTATATTTTATATTAGTTCATGTTGCTTTTGTGCAATAGATCAATAACAATTTATTTGTTTAGATATTTTTTTGCGGGAGTCCCGTGAATCATTTTATTCTCCCGCATCCCGCACACACACGAGTGTCTACCCGCCCAGTGTTGCCAACTCATTTTCAGGGGAAGTTGCTAAAGGCAGAACCGTTTGTTGCTAAATTTTTCCACATATTTTTTTCTTACAGTGTACCTAACTGAACAACAATTATATATACAAGCTAATAACATGCTGTATCATAAATGTGCATTTATTATTGACCAATTGGAACTAGCAACTTAATGCACAT